TGCTCAGAGCCCTGTCCAACCTGGCCTTGAATGTTTCCAGGGATGGGGCCTCCACCACCTCTCTGGGCAACCTGTTCCAGTGTTTCACCACCCTCATTGTAAAGAACTTCTTTCTTATATCTAGTCTAAATATGAATATTGTTTGCTATTTGCCACACAAGTCACTAAATTAGACACATAGGCAACTTCTACTCCTTCACAAGAGCTTTTTCTAATGGCTATTTCATATTGCAGCAGTCATTTTTAATAACTGAAAATGTTCATGGGAAAGTTTTCGAGTTTTCCGAGCCTGGATTACAGCTTGATCCTGCAAGGTGTTGGAATTCACAGAATTTGATTCAGCAAAGCATTTCTAGGGCTGCTCACAGGCTTAAAAGCACCGAGTTATTTGGCATTGCTCTGCTGCATTGATTAGCGAGGCACGGTTTGAACCCACAGTGGAGACAGGAGGCTGGGTAACAGGGAAGCGGCAGGCCACCCACCGCTGACAACCAGACATAATCAACAAAATTGTATTAAAATAGTCTGGCTTCCTACATGACAGAAATAGTGCCGTAATCTTAAAGTATCTATTTCTATGACAGGGGGCTTGAGTAAGTTCAATGAAGTCACTGCTTAATGTCAGAAGACTTCTGAAACCATAAAGAACTACTTACTCAATGTAGCATTTTTTGCCCTCGGGGACAGGTTAACAAAGGTGTAGCTTTTCCAGAGGATTTTCATAGATAGCTGAACAAAAAGCCTTTTTATTGAAAATGTTTAGCAGAGTTTTATGATCGAAAAAGCTTGCTTTGGGTCTCTGCTAGACAAAGGGCCTTAGCATCAGTTCCTGCAGTAAGGACGGCTGAGGATCTGGGTCATTAGTCCTAGAATTAATTGATACGACCTGGTGGGAAGGAAGGAAAAATCATCTCGTCAGATCCTTGCCAGGTCATCTGCTTTCGGACTCATTATGGGCCCGTGAAACTGGAGGTGTGAGTCAGGCTGGCCCAGACCACTGAAAATGTCAAAGAAACTGTGTGGCGAGGAGCAACCCATGGTGGTCCTGGAGTAAGAGGCTACACCCAAGAGTTGCAGTACCATGTACATGGAGCCAGGACTAGAAACCCTATGAGGATAAATTCCTAACTGAACGGAAAGGCAGCATTGACCTTACAGATCATCATGGGCAAATGTAAACTTACTTTATTTTTTTAAAAGAGTTGCCAGAAGGCATATTGGAAAATGTTCAGGACCTTCTATCAATGTCTTTTTTACTGAAATCCCGTAGATATATTTGACAGAAGTAAAGAATATTAAAACCACAGCAACAAAAGCCTAAGTATATTGGAAAGATTTTATTTTTCAGAGAAAATGCAAGATACTACATAAGGATAAAATTTAAGTCCTACTGAAGTCCATGGCCAAAGACCATTATTCTTTAGTGGAACAAAAGATTTCACAGAAAAGGTTTTGTACAGGAAGATACGAGTGATCTAAATTTAAGAGTATAGTGTATTTATGGAAGTATTTTTACAAGCCATTCTTCATAGTGTGTATACAAGTGACGATTAAATACAGTTCTTCAGGGACAAAGTCATGAAAAAAACTTTATCGGATCACATAAGGGTGCCACAGAGGCAAAGAAAGAGGAGACCTAGCCTGTGGACTGGTGTGAACTTTGGATTTGGGTGATCTGCCTCAAAAGTCCTTGTTTTTATCCAGTCACTTGGAGCTAAATCCACAAAAGCTGATGATTCGACTACAGGATGCCATGGTCAGCATCCACGGCCCTTGGGCAGCAGCTGCTTCTCATAAAATACACCAGTGCTTGCTGTCAGAGTACAGATCTTCCCAGCTCAAAATTATCACCACTGGATGAGAGCCTCTGACGTGGCCTGGGCTCCAGCTCAGCATCACTGACCTCACGCACCAGGACGGCATGATGCCACCGGGTGTTGCAGTGCTAGCAACAGGGAAGTGCCTAATCCAGCCCAAATAAGGGGGGGGGGCAGGGGAGGGTGGCTGTGGTTGGATTCCCTCCAGATTGGGCACAACTTAACCAGGTTAAAAAAATATGGCACAAGGTCACAGCTCTAAGCAGTGCTAAAATCATTCATCCTGAGTAGTAAGAAGCACAAGGAAAGCAGGCTGCGCTGCAGAGGGCTGTGGTTTAATGCACAACTATCCGTGGTATTTCCTATCTTTTAACAGGGGAATACCTGTGCTCAGCAGGGCTTTCAGGTACCTCACTCAGGGCAGGGAATCTCATTTCGGCTACGGCATGCCTAAGCTTTATTCACTGAAGCAATGATGCCCATAGCTCCTCTGTGCTTCAGTTCTTCACTTCTACAATTAATTAATAGTAACAACCCTGCCTCACCAGAGCGTTGTAAAGAAAAAGCATGCTAAAAATGGTAAGGTGCTCAGATATTGGATAACAAGGACTTTGTAACCTCCTAGGGAAAATTTTAAAGAATTTGCACTGTTTGAATGTGGATCTTAAAGACCAAGTTTTTGCCCTGCACAGAAAAAGGACTCCTGTAACATGTTGGCCTTGTGCTGGCCCCCTGCATAACACCACCTTTCTCACGGTACTTTGCTGAATGCAGAGGTCCCTGAGAAAGTCCCTGGTCAAGCCATGAGGATCCCCTCAAGTTAGTTCCTTCCTAGTATGCTCCAGCCACAGGGACAGGCTGCCTTGTTGCCACATGCACGCAGGCATGTACTGCCCTCAGTCTGTCCAAGCAGCTCTCTTGGGTTGTATTTAAGATGAGTGTAAGGGCTATTTTACATTTCCGTGAGACAGAGGTACAAATCACAGTGTAGCTGCCAGGGGAAAGCAACACCAAGTCCCTGGGATAATTCTGACACTGCAGTCAGAGTTTTGACTGCACGGAGAGAAGATCCAGCCACCAACAGTACTCAGTGCAAAGCCCATTCAGGCTGCTGGAAGGGCTCTGCATTGACTCTGATGGCCACTGGCCTTTTCACTGAGTAGAGCTGTAGGAGACAGAATAAAAGCAGGGTGTCAGCTGCACCCTTACTCGGCGCTTCTGGGAAATGGGACATACCTGAAGAAAAACGTCGCAGGACCTTTGGTATGCAAATGGATACTGCACTGCACGTCCCAGCACTTTATAAGAAACTAGACTTACTTCTCTTCTAGTCTTCTCCTACAACAAAGAAGAAGATGCACATGGCACAGCATAGGGCAAAATTTAAAAACCTAGTGTGATTTCACAGCTAGTGGTAACTTAAGCAACCCAGAAGTAACATCCCATTCAGCCCACAAGAATAGGTTTAAACTTCATTTGTGCCATTCGCTTCCTTCTTTAGTCCTTCTCGTTCCTCTCTCAAAGGTTCCAGCTCAGGCTTGTCCTGTATGGTTTCTTTGTTCCAGTTATTTCTGCCTTCATTTTCTGTCCTTACAGATTTAGGGTCCTCTTCTTTTGCCTTCCTTTCCTTCTCCTCCTTGGCAAGCATACGATAATTATAATAATTCATGATGAACAGGAAGGTTCCTGCCAGGACCATCACAGCTCCACATTTAATGAACATGTATTTATAGTCCCCAAAGGTATCGATAAGAGTTCCTGTAAAACACATAATTAAAAAAAAGAAAAAAAGAAACTTAGAGATGAAGGCAAGAATATTGTGGTTTCAGATCCTAAATAAAAAGGGACACCTTTGTGGCTTTAGGATAAAATAAGACATTCTCTGGACTTCTGTTCTCTTCCACAAATACTCTGATCCTGCAAATACTTCACAGGTGTTCCACTATATAACCTGTGAGTAGTTAACATTGATATAGGCAATGCTACCAATAATTTTGTCCTGGTTTTGGCTGGGATGGAGTTAATTTTCTTCCTAGTAGCTGGCATAGAGCTGTGTTTTGGATTCAGTACTAGAAGGATGTTGATAACACAGTGATGGTTTAGTTGTTGCTGAGTAGTGTTTATATTAGTCAAGGACTTTTTCAGCTTCCCCTGCTCTGCCAGGGACACAAGAAGCTGGGAGGGGGCACAGCCAGGGCAGCTGACCCCAACTGGCCCAAGGGCTATTCCAGACCATAGGACGTCATGCCTGGGGGGAGCTGGCTGAGGAAGAAGGATCGCTGCTCAGGATGGGCTGGGCATTGGTCAGTGGGTGGTGAGCAGTTGCATTGTGCATCACTTGTTTTGTATATTCTGTATATTCTAGTATTATTACTTTATTTTCCTTTACTGTTTTATTAAACTGCCTTTATCTCAACCCACGGTTCTTACCTTTTTTTCCTGACTCTCTGCCCCACCCCACTGAAGCGGGGGAGTGAGGGAACGGCTGGGTGGTGTCCAGCTGCTGGCCGGGTTACACCACAACAAATTTGTACAGTTAAGTAGAAGGGGACAGAGAACCTACATTGCAAAGTCTGGACTTTTCAGGCACACCCTTTTTTTCCATGCAGAAACCAAGTCCTCTGATCACAGAGTCTGCAGACAGTCTTTCCATTGACTCCAATGATCACCTACAAGGATGTCCATTTGACTTGGTAGTCCTCCGGCTGCCAGCAAAAGTGGCAGCTTTCGAGAAGATCTTCATGAGATGGCACCTGGCCACTGGGTCTCCATCTCAGACTCTTGACAAAGACCCTCCAATTTATTCCACCATGGGTCATTCACCAGCATTAGAGGGGACTCATCTTGTGGTCACAGCAGCACTTTCTGCATTTATACTCGTGATCTAAAGATGAAAGGGCACTGCTTGGAACTGGAAAACATTAGTTCCAGGGAAAGCAAAGATGATGCTGTCAATGTCAGATAATTTCAATGCCAAGACAAATGTGACAGGTTCCTCTCAAAGGTTAATGCCTCTGCTACAGAGGTACAGAGTAATTGAAGGGAGACGGCTTAATTGAAATGTCAGTGTTCTCCATTATGTCAAAATGTAATGCAAATCTTATTGGGATTATGATCTTGAGCATTAATTCCCATTTACTGGCGCAACACAGACCATTCTTAACATCCCAAATCCTAATTAAAGTAAGACCCGCTCCTAACCTGGCCTTCACAGTCCTCCTTGAAACTGGCCCATCAACCATTAGCTCTCTGCCTTTTTGGAATATGTTCTCCTCCTTAAAAAGAGGGACCTTTAATTACTTCCTGACTGACCCCTAATGTTGAAAAACTGATGATTAATTATCCCACTGCATTACACTAACACGGGATTTTATAGCCACCAAATAGATTTCTTGATCACAAAAATAATAATTTTTAACTGGTTTTGGTCAACGGTTCTTCCTGAATCACTCCTAGATGTCTTGGTACACCATTTTCAAGGCACTGTTACTGGTGAAACATCAACCAAATGCTAATTGCAACAATTTTTCCTTTTCTGCTAATCAGGATGACCTAGAGGTCTCCTAAAGAGGTTTCAGTGAGATTTTTAATGAGCAGACTATTGGAAAATTCAACAGGAGGATAGTCTTGCCTCTTTTCCTTTGAGACTAAGATAAAGTCATAAAACACACTGGGAACAATTTACTTAGTTCATTAAAGCAGAACCCTGCAGTAGGTTATTAAAATGTCAAAGAACCAATAAATTTGCTGCTTAATAAAATGGTGGGGAAAACCCTACAAAACTAATATTACTGATTATTACATAGAACTGGGTTAGCCTCATTAGCAGTCTCTGGTCATTAACTTAATCTTCCACACAGAAAATTATATAATTCAGAAAATGGTCATTTTAAAATTGTATTTTCCTTTGTTTGTCATTAATTAAATAATGAATCTCTAAGACAGCAAGAGGATACAGCTGCTTCTGTCACACTGTATGAGCTACGTGGTAATATGAAGAATTAAACAGCCCTGCAAGATGTGGCATACAGAGCATTAACCGGATCTCAGCTTTGAATCCAGGAAATGCGTTTAAACCTCCTTCTTTCTGTGCCTTCCTTAAATTTATTATGATACTGTCATATCATAAGAATTATCAGAGTTTAGCTTGTATACATCCAGAAACAGACAGCACACACAACCTAATCAAACATTTTAGCGTACTTAAAGGTGACCAGTTTCCAAACCAGTTATTCAAGCTGCAAGTTGCAGGACAGGGCACATAGATAGGATGGTACCTATACACTGAGAGGATGTCACCTATGAAGTCATTTCATTCATGGCCAACTCAGATTCAGTAAGGACTGTACTTGAGCCAAATGCCAGGTTCAAACACGGTGTCTTCCAGACACAGTGTGCTCCTTGTAGGAAAAGAAGTGAGCACATGCTATAGAGGGAAAGAAGTGGAGGCTGTTAAAATCACAGGAGATCACTGCTCCCACTTATCTTCAGATGACTGCAAGCCCTGCTGGAGGTTCAATATTGTCAGCATGGACATTTGAGGGTCTCTGTCTTTTGATATTTCAAACAATGCTATAAAAAATAAACCTTTTCTTATTTTTGGAACAGCCTTAAATCTATCAGATGCTCTGAGATGACTGAAGTCCATAAGCAGAAGCACTCAGAGCCTTAGAGACAAATAGCAAATACCAGATTTGAGTCGACAAGAGGATTTCATAGAACTGTTGTGTTTTACTGTGCTTAAATTGTGGTGGACTCCAGCCTTTTACAACAGGAGGAGTTTCCAGGAGGAGTCGCCTAAAGCGCAAGGTTCTTGCTGTTGCACAAAGTCCCACTCTGTAAGTTCAGTTCAAGTGTTTGAAGGGATCAGGGACTAAGAGCACACCCTACAAACTCTTGACTTCAACTGGAGGACAACATAGAAAGGAGTAAAGAAGAAATGCTGGAGGACACACTGAGGATCTGCCTTCCCTGTCCAACTACTAGTGGAAAAACAGTGGGTGGGAAGCAAAGAAAACACATTTAGAATCATTTCCTACAAACTCTGCTTGCAAGTGGCTAAATACAAGTGACAACCCAGTGGAAGCAGAGGAAGAAAACACACTCACCTCCGATGGGTGGTCCCAGCAATATCGTGCAGCACTCCGCGATGGTGACCAGACCAACTGCACTCGTGAAGCGGGCAGCTCCCACGAGATCCATGAGGGTTTCAAAGAGCATGGCACAAACCATGCCGAAGGCCAAGCCAAAAAAGACAGAGTAAACTACGAGCCCCGTGTAGCCAGAAGCCAGTGGGCACAGAAGGTGGCAGGCACCATTGAAAGCAATGGAGAAGCTGAAAAAGTATTGAATCCGTGGCCTCACCCACTTGCTGTTTGCAATGATGCCAGTGGTAGGTCGGGCAATCATATCCACGATAGCAAGGATCGAAAGGAGGAAAGCAGCTGAATATTCATCAATGCCGATGTGCTTTGCATAAGGTGCCAAAAAAACAATGGGGGCAAAAAATCCCAGGAACATGAGCACGTTTCCGATCAGGTAAATCAAGAACCCTCTGTGCTTAAAGAGGGAAAAATCAAGGTACTGATTGATTTTTTCACAACAGTCCTTTCCTCCTTCCTCTTCTGTTTTGGTGTCCAGGGGGACGTTCCCAGGATTATTCATTTCCATGGCATCCTTAGTGACCTCTTCTTTCAGACCATCCTTCCCTTCCTCAGTCACCTGAGTTTTGACTGATACTGTGGCTGTCCCGATGGGTCTGAAGAGGGCTCCTGCCACACAGCAGTTTAATAAAATTGCCCCAAGTATTAAAAAGCTGCCCCTCCAGCCAAAATTGTCAAAAAGGAACTGGTTGAGAGGAGCCAGGGTGCAAAGCATCACCGGGCTCCCTGCCATAGCAAGGCCATTTGCGATAGGTCTTCTCTTTAAAAAGTATTTGCCTATGATTATCACTGATGGCTGGAGGTTGAGAGCAAGGCCGAATCCTGGAACAGAGAAAAACAGTTGTGATACACAAAGGAAGATTTGAGACTCCTCAGCTCATTATTTTAGGCAAATTCATGGACAGTTGGTCCACTGGTGGCTCTTCAACGTGATAGTCTGGATGCAAGCTTTGCTCAAGATATCCCTGAGCTTCTGACTGACGCATTTGGGTAACCAGACCCCAGAAAGACACTTCCGGTCAGAGAATGCCCCTTCCTTTTGCAATGCAAATCTCTTGGGTGGCAAACCTAGCACAAAGAGTTTGCTCCAGAATAAATTGAAACTACAGCCTCAATGAATGCTGGCTGGTTTTGCCCAGACACAGCAGCCTTGTTGAAAGAGAGGATGGATCTACTGAAAAAAAATGACAGCTCCCAGTTTGAGGAAGGTTGCTCTGGCTTGGACAGTGCTAATCACCAAAGTGCATCCTTCTCACCCCCTTCCATGGGTGGTGGGAACCCAACACTGCTACTGGACGTCTGTCCAGACCTGCACAGAAAAAAACATCACCCATCTCAGCCACTACTAATTTAGTGGTGTGAGCAATTCAGGTCTGATGCAAAAGACTAAGAGGTCTGCAAGTACATGGCAAAACAGCTACTGAGGATGCTAATTAAACAGGACCCTAGAGTGTTTCTTTTAATTTAAATTTATGTTTATTGCAGTTAGATACATAAATAGTATTATAAATCTGCATTGCTAATTCACTTAGCCAGCTTCTCTTGCACAGGTGAAATCTAAAGGCAGAGATACCAAATGCTGTGATGGTGTCAACTTTCTGTTTGAAAGCACCAGCATATAATAATCTCTTCGTTTCAAACATTTCTATGATGTGCAGTATTTCCTTAAAAAGTTGAATTTTCAGAACTCCATCAAAATTACATTTAAAAATCATGCCACATATTTTCCACCCTATCATCCAGGAAAGAATGAGCCACATTAGAACAAAGCAGAAATGTAATCCTTGAAGTGATTATACCCAAGAACATGAATCCTGAAAATAGGGTCACGCAGACTTTTTCTTGTTCATTAGTCTATATAATTAGTTTGTTTAACTGTGCAGTACATAATTAGGCATATTGCTTTACAGAAGAGAATTTAGAAAGGTCAAGGTCCTCAAAATTAATTAAGGAACACTATCATTAGCTGCTGATAGAGTAGAATCCAACTGATGCAGCAGAATTCAACTGATGTTGGATAGCTTCAGGTTGAACGGCTACACAAAATTATGATTTTTGCCAAGTATAAAATTCATTCTTTTTTAATTACTTGGAAGTTTACAACACTAAAAATAAATTGAAATGGCAACATATTAAAACTAGTCTTGATATGAAACACATTCCCTGCTCATAAAATCATAGAATCATAGAATGTTTTGGGTTGGAAGGGACCCCTAGAGGCCATCTAGTCCAACCCCCCTGCAGGGAGCAGGGACACCTTTAACCACATCAGGTTACTCAGAGTCCCATCCAACCTGGTCTTGAATGTTTCCAGGGATGGGACCTCCACCACCTCTCTGGGCAACCTGTTCCAGTGTTTCAGCACCCTCATAATGCACAAAGGGCCAAATTTATCCCCGTGAGAGGGCTGATCTGAGAACTGGGGAGGCAAAACACAGCCTTGGATAGAGAACACCCTTGACAGTGCTCAGATATAGAAATGCATCTTCTTTCACCTGAGAATATGCAACACAGTGGATTAGAGTTTGCTTTAATGTATATTTGCTTTTTGTATTTCCCAGGCTGGTAGGTAAGGGCAGAAATTGAACCATCATTTCCACAGAATCATTTTTGGTAGGGACCTACCACATGTTGCATGGAAAAGGAAAATTGGACTGGATGCCAGCTATCCACTTAACCAATAATCAACTCAAATTTTTTATTATGTGAACATTAATTTGCCAGTCAGACAAATCTAATTTAATATTACCTCATGCTCTTCCCATTAATTAAATTTGGAGAGTTTCAAATTGACTGACTGGAATTTCAATTTACTTTAAGCTTTTGGCTGACTTTAGTTGGAAATATTTATATCCATATTATTCCAGTTTTCAGAAACTACAGCAGCTTTTCCATGGCTGAAATTGTTACTCAAATAACCACATTTTATCCCCAAGGATATGACAGAGAGGCCTATCGCTGGTGTTGCATGAACAGCAGCAAGCCTGTGCCAGGGGGGAGCATGCTTCCCAGGATTAAATACATCTCCCTCATATTAGAAGGAAATAAGTGGTGCTTCAGGAGTGAGCTGCGTAGCTATTGATCTTGTTCTTACTTTATTAGCAAGGAAAGATCCTACCAGCTATTTCAATGCTCAACATGCACAGCTAAGGCAAGGACTCCAGTCTCCTTAGTCAACATGCTTCGCCCTAGATCCCATTTTATTTCGTGGTAGTCTAATTGGTACAGATTGAACTAAACTCCAGTTGTTATTGCCTTGCATTTAGCTTTGAAATTTGCTGCTACTACCTCAGCTTGAAGAAGAGGTTGCATGCCTAAACACCTATTTAATGCATCCAGGCTGGCATCTATCCAGGCCGACAGCTTGCAAACCCCATTTCTTTTTCTAAGCGCTATCGGGAAACAAGTGAGGGAGAGAACATGGGTTTTACAGCGCATGCAAAGCGCTGCGTGCCACCCACAGCTCGGTGCCATCAAGGACAGAGCTGCTTCAGAGTTGCCTCTGACAGCGGAGCCTGGCCCCTGCTCTGCATGCAAATGGAAAAAGGCATAATCAAGACAGCAATCGAGATTGCCGTGTCTAATCCCTCCACCGTAAACAGATACTTCCCACTCTGCTCCTCTGAAGAGATTTCTATTAATATACCAAAGGCACAGGACTGTAGCAGGGACCTCCTAGTACCAACTGTCTTGTTTTTATCTCCATCCCTGCAAATTACTCGAACATGGCCTTTTACATCAGCCTGTCTCCTTTTCAGGCTGGTAGGAAGGAGGCTAGAAGGAGCGTCATGTTTACAGGTTGCTTTACAGTCATTGCAAACCGCCTTTGCAGAAGTCTCTCTGCTTATACAGTAACGCTGCCCCAGCCGCGTGATGAGCGGGCAGCTTCCGATGTTTACAGGTTGCTTTACAGTCATTGCAAATCGCCTTTGCAGAAGTCTCTCTGCTTGTACAGTAATGCTGCCCCAGCCGCGTGATGAGCGGGCAGCTTCCTAATTGCTCTCTTAGGCCTGACCAGTGAAAGCATTGCGAGCGTAATTAGAGGCATCAAGCATGTTAGCAGGATTACAAGCGTCTTCCCTTCCCTGTCAAATTAATATTCCTTCCCCAGCACACACACACCGTGCCTGGAAATGATGGGTTATTAGCTAAGACCTCATCCACACAGCTGCCCTCGTTCAGCAAGCAGGAGGAAAAGACGGACACACCAAAAAACGTGGTTTGCTCTGAGGAAACATCACAGTATTAAAGACAAGGAGGTATGGGGGCAGTTTGCCCCTGCACCCTGTTGCTGACAGGAAGGTTACATGTGTGCATTGAGCACAGCTCGTGCTATCAGCTCTCTGGGGCGGGCAAGAGACCGGATCTGCAGAGATATTCAGGGACCAAAAAAGAACAGGGTCTTCATAAATCCTAGGCCCATTGGGGTTAGGCATAAAATTCCCTCCTGGCACATCTGTGGCCAAGTACCTTTAAAAATAGGAGTTGGTGCCTTCCTACAGCACTGTTCCTTGCCTGAGCCCTTCTGCTCACCTAAATGCACACATTTTTCGCAAAGGATTTATGGTTTCCATGTGCTAATCCAGCGTTAGTCAACTTGCTAGAGGACATTTGCTTAGCAGGGAATGATACAAGCTCATGCATCAATAAATATTGATTTTTATCTGTGGGAGACATTGGTTATTTTTATTTCTCATCACTTTGTTTCTGGAATCTCTTTCAAGGAATCTGCAAGATTTATTCATTCAGTAATAGCCCAGTTTCATCTAATACAGTGACTCTCCTTAGAAAGAGTAAGGTTTTAGAGAGGGAATCCTACATGGGGATTCATTCACTATTGTACAGGTTTAATAAAGGAATACTGGCGTAAAAGAACAGGGTGACAAACTTTCTGTCCCAATTTACTTTGCTAGTGGCTGGTTCTCCTGATTTTAAATGCTCGCAGTTTTCATGTTCAGAAAGCAGCAACGCTTAGTGTGGCTGCAGAGAGATAGGGAACGTTCATTAAAACATACACCTTGCAACCTCAAAAGCCAATGCTGAACTCATTGTGTCATGTTTTCAGGCAGATATCCTAGCTGCACTGGAAGAAACATTGGCTGTACCTTAGCCAAAATAATGAAACAAAAATGCTTACAATTAAGCAGGTGGAGAACACCAATCCATCTACCTTTAAAAGCAATAGCCCAGTACCTGCAGGCTTTAAAGATGCTGGCTGACGCTCAGCCTTCTCCTGTTTGAGTTTCCAGTATGGAAATTCATATTTCAGTACAGACAATTCAAACTGTAACTTCAATAAGGAAATACAGTTTTATTTTTTTCTCAATAGGGAGAATATTGCGTATTCTCAATCAACTCCAGTAGTCGTTATTTTCAGATAAAGGACCTCCTAACCTCACAAGCAGGCAAAGGGCAAAGGAACTAAAGCAAGCCCCTGAAACCTCATTTCATCTATCTCGCTGAGGGACGATAACACGCAGTAATACAGGCACGCAGGTGCTTTCTTCACAGTCGCGCTTGTATCTCGAAGGGCTTGCCTTGCCCAGGGCAGAGCGCAGCCAACCTGCGTTCGCTCCGGTGGGAGCTGAGGGCACTGATGGCCATCCTCACCATCGCCTCTGGCCAAGAGCACTCATCTGCAAAGAGCACATCCCCTGCTAAGATCCCACACAGTGTTCAGCCAGGAGCAAAGCGCTTAGCGGGGGATATGCTCTTTGTTGAAGTTCATCTGGAGCAGTTAATAAGCCAGGGCCCGTGGCCCACCAGCTCTTTATCTCACCAGCTTCCTGTTGTGTTTGGTTGAGGTGCCCAAGTGCGGATGCCCCAAGCCATCAGAAGTGAAGCTCAAGTGCGGGCAGAAAGGAGATGCTTTCTTCTTACCTGTAATGAAGCCCACGCAGATGTAGAGCTGCAGGATACTGGTGCAGAAGGCGGCTGACACCATCCCGATGCCACACAGCAGGCCTCCAAATATAACCACGGGTCGGCTGCCATAGCGGTTTACTAAAATACTGCTAATGGGACCTGGGGAAAGAGCGCAAAATTGTCCTTGAGGTAGGTATCTTCTGACAGAAGGGCACGTTTGACACAAAGCAGGCAAAACTCTGCACTATCAGTGTCCCTGGGGTGCTGCTGACAGCTTCTGGAGGGTGACATCAGGAAGAAAATGGAAAAAGAGAGAAAGATGATCTGTGCTGTGCGGAGATGGCAGGATGTCCCATGCCACACAGTGGCTGTGTAGTCAGTGACAGCTCCTGCCCCAAGACTTCAAAGTGTCATCAGAGAAGGCAAAGGGCAATAACAAACCAGGTGAACACATAATCCCAACACGGGAGCTTCTTGATTTGTTATGATGCTAAACCATAGACATAAAGTGGTGCTTCCTATTACGAGGCTGATATCATGAATACTGTTTCGGTTTTAATGCCTCTATTTAATGCCATTCCAATACTGCTGACCAGGACTGAAGCTTCAGCAGAACAGTTGTTAACTAAATCTTAATCGCAGTCTATGTAGGTAGAAACAGTTTGGGATGATGGATTAGTCAGAGCTCAGAAGAACCAGTTTGGTCTTACATTTATGTAAAGAGGTGGTTCAGGAACGTGCAAGATTATGAAAGAGGGAAATGGCTTAACAAAGACTGCACACACTGAAAGGAAGCCTCTAAATCTGAGGAAGTGGAACATGCCAGCAGCTTTGGGCGGAGGAGGAAAGAAGGGAAGTCTTGTGTACAGTAGTCTCAACCAGCTAGAGGACCAGTAAAAATCAGAATCACAGAATAATATATGTCAGAGGGACTTTGAAGGTCTCAGGACCAACCTCCTGCTCAAAGCAGAGCCAACTCTGAAGTTAGATCAGGCTGAGAAGTCAGAATGAAAGAAAGCAAACTGAGCAGGAAAGAGCTGTCCAGAAGTCGAGCTATGAGATGTAAGAAAAAGATTCCATATTACTGAAAAACCTGAACCAAAGTGCTGCAAAGATGATGCTGGAAATGAGACAGGGGGATACAGGCAGCATTTAGTATCTCATTTTACCTGACTACTTCTGGTGCTACTCAGCACACAGCAATGGTGTTTCGGAGCCCAGCGTGCCTGTTTGCCTTCATTCCTGCCATTACAAACAGTCCACACCATCCACATGCAGATTACTGGAAATGGTTATTTTAAGCTTACAGGCATCTCTGAAGAGCTGGACTGTGGGATCTACCTCACCACAGAGCCATTTGGTAGGATATTTACCTTTGCTTAAATAATCTCAGCCAGAAATAGTGGCAGAGCTCTTTCCAGACCCTGCAAACCACGGCACACTTGAGCACAGGAGCCGGACCCAAAAACTCCAATATCCCCTCAGCATGGCTGACAGCATCTGAACAAGTTCTCAGCTCTTATAGTGTGCAGGAATAAAAAACAGTAGGTATGATTGGCTTAATCTAGGGAATGAAGCCCACCGGTACCCCTGTAACATGCAGAATACTTTCCACTAGATGTCTAAGGTCAAAACACTCATAAATGAAATGCACACAAGCATGGTTTTAACAGCATCCCTATAACTGCGTGATCGTGAGCTGGTCCACCAAATGCACCATTCAATTGAAATTTCCGTGAGTGTATAATTACATGAAGGGTTTTCTCTCCTAACCCTGTAACTGGATGCAGATGCACGCATCCTTTTGCTGCACAGAGCACTACAGAATTCAATGGGAAGTCCTGGGGAAGGAGATACACATGTCAGATCAGCACAGCAGGAAAGGGACCGAGTTCTCACTGAGTTTCCCCTGGTCAGGGCTTGAACTTGCACCATGCTTGAGCTGGTCTCAGCATGTCCTGTAATTCAACAGATCGAGCCAGTGTTCCTCAGAAAGGCACCAACTCATCCCTCTGCAGCCTAAGGGCACACAACTCCTCCATTTTTCAATTTTCCACATGTCCGCGTTTCTCCAGAATCAATCTAATTACTCAACTAAGAAAATGTGGTTTCAATTACCCCTCCCACTGGAAGGGGGCTTTCACGTTAGCCCTAAAACTACAGGACGTCGTCCCATGGAGCAGAGCATTTAAAGCCCACAAGATTTCTGCTAAGTTCCCTCTCCTGCTCTGATTCAGGGCAGTTCCTGCGGAGAGAAGTCCCTGCTATGAGGAGTAAAACAAAACGCTCGCTTATGTCCCAGTCCTGCAGCACCCACCTCAGGAGAAGGGCAATATGGATCCATGTCCCTCTCACTCCCATCCATAAGCTGTCCTACTGGCTTCACCCATCAGTGAGGATGGCTTTGGACCATGACAGCAGATGTTGAACTGGAAGGGGCTGAGGGTGGGACATATTCTGCTCTGCTTCTACGGGGACAACCCAGGGCAGATGCTGGAGTAGTTGAAAGCAAAAGTCCGTATCCCAACCATGGGCTTTACAAATGAGAACACCCTTCCTGTGCCCTTGGGGCACCCTCCAAGAACCTGCAGTGTCCCCAGCCACATCCCAGCTTCCCAGCGATCACTTAGTAAGCCACGAGACTGCAATGGCTCCCTGTTCCTGTTTTGTGTGATCTCTCAGCAATGCTTTACAGCAGGTCTGCGTGACCTTCAGCAAACAGCCTTCATCTGCCATAACCATCATTATCAGTTTTACAGGGGGGTCATCAGACCCACTTGTTTGCCAGTCTGGGTGGGAGAGGTCTCAAAGGTGTTACCTATCTGGGCTGGGCTGAGCTCATGGGGAACCATGACGAACTCCCAAAGCAACAGAAGCCTCTCTCCTTTTCAGCCTGAAACCTTAAGTCCAGGCCCTGTGAGCCCACTCTGTGAGAGACAGCATTTTATCTCCCTGATGAGCCTCACCCACACAGGACTGGCATTGGAGGCCTCTAAGGTACTAAGCACAGCCAGTTAGAGGAGAAAACAGGAGCAGAGCATCGGGACTAAACCCTTCCAGCCACTGGAGAATCCACCACAAAGGCCATGATGGGCACTCAACCTGCAGGGGAAGCATCATCTAGACCTACACTTTACAAGACAACAGCAAATCCTACCCAAGGCCTCAAACAGTTGGGAAACCAGACTTCCCTGAGATGCTGCTCATCGGCCAAAGGTTTTGTAATAGTCCTGAGCAGACCTTTCAAATGCACTGAAGCAAATGCAAAATCACATCCCCAAAATTAATTCCACTTAAGTCATTTGGACCTAAAGAAACGTCCATAGCCTTTAACGGAGCAGCCTTTCAAAAGCCGTCCCATCCCTCGGCAGAAAGCGGCGCACGCAATGTGTCACATAGCTGTGCACACCAGCATGCAGACCCTGCCAATTTGGGCAGGCGTACGAAGCACAGACACTTACACCTTCACCCTGCCCAGACGTCTTTGGTGATCAGCGTCACGGCCAACAGATCTAAAGGCGCCTCTCCTGCCCTGCTCGGCCACACGCCACCCATACTCTATTTCTCACAGGGGGCTGATTAGCCATCAAACATTAGTTAATTTTAACAGCAGTGTTCTGGGGAGCTTTGGAAAACATCAAATAGCTCATGTCAGGGCAAAGGAATTAGGAAGAGGGAACAACAAAGCCAGCACCGCAGTTGTGGGAAATAGGAAACACGATTACTGCTTTGCTTGCAGCTATTGCAAAAATTAAAAGGGTGACAGCCCCTGGAAACATGGTGGAATTGAAAAGCGGGACCTGTCATTTACCAGTTATTCAGCCTGCATGAAAAGAATAAACATACTGTATATTACCACACAAAACCAATTACAGCAACATGTGCAGCTTAAATCCCAAGGCACCTTTACTTGCTCATACCTGCCCGGTCAAACATGCAGGAACCACAGGCTCCCTGTCCTGGCATCCAAACTAATTCATCCTTCCCTCCTGCAAGCCTTCCGCGAGAGAAGCTAATAGGAATCGGGGTGGGGTTTGCTTCTTAATTTTAGAGTCAGGTGAGGATAGGGCAAGAGAAACAGCTGGCAAAGCTCTCAGAAAGATGCCACTTACCTGGCTTGGCCTTGCAGAAGCAGCCACACTAATGCTAAGTCCCAGAAAAGTCATGGTGAGGAGCAAAAGCCACCTCAGCTGCTGAGCGTGTCCCCGATGCATGGCTTCTCAGGGGCCGGAGCAGCCAGGGCTTGTGCCACCCAGCCAGCGCTGTCCCCACAACCCCACCACCATAGCAGCATTGCAACTTGTAATGAGGAAATTAGAAGGAAAATTTAATCACTCCCTTGCACCCCAAAACATTCCAAGGATGAAGCTGCCAACACAGGGGTGGCAGCAGCCCGTGCTTCACAGTGGGAAGGGGTTGGCATTTCCACCCACCCAGCCTTAGAAACAAGGCAGCCCCTTCCACAACCCAGCAAGTGGCTTCCAGCTGCAGCAATCATTTCCCATCCATCACAAGGGGGTGACACGGGACAGCGGAGGGCACGGGGGATGCTGAGCCTCACCCTGCTGCTGGCTTGGCTCAGAGCCGTGCCTGTGGCTCTGCACCTCCCCTGGCTCGCAGGGGGACACGCTCTCCAGTGGAGCTACCACCATCCCCTGGGTAAGAGCAAGGAAAGCCTGCTGTGAAATGCCTTGCTTTCCAGCCCAAGCCTTTGCAGAGCAGGGTGCACATAAAGCAGTAAAACTCTGCAGCCTGGAGAGCAACAGTTTGCACCAAATATCCCCTAAAGATGCTGCTGGGATCATGGCACTCCTGGAAGACTGATGTAATGTAAAGCGCTATCCTCAGCCCATATAAATCATGCTGGTTTAGTGCCTGTCCTGTATAAAGCCTCTCTTTTCTCATACCTGTGGCAGATTTCCATTCGTCGTTAGCTGGTACATGAAAGGCCATGTCAGAGAAGCTGATCTTGGTGGCAAGCAAAACACAGGAACTTGCCGGTGGGAAATAAAGCAAGCCCTAACGCATTTGTTAGCTTGTCCAATTACTTTTCACCTTGAGTTTTGTGTTTGCAGAAGTGAGAAGGACCCTGAAGAGGAGACTGTAAAACCATAAAGAAAATGCAAAATACCCTGGACTCTCCTCTCTTCTCCTCCACA